CTTGTGGCAAGTTCTCCACAGTCATTCCTGTCTTTCAGTTAGGAGCTTGAGAGTGTGCAATGGCTCTTTAGTAATTTTGAGAACTGGCACCAGTCTGAAGGGTTTGGGACTGTTCTTTTGCACGGTGAATAATGGGAGGAAGAAAGAGCATTGTAAAGGGCTTTGACAAGTTGTGGGGTTTTTGGGAAGGGTACAGTTGGAGGGCCAGGAGTAAAGTTATGAAATCTATCAAAAACAAAAAAAAAATTAAAAACCTGAACAGAGATCAGGAAACCTTGAGTTTGTGGAGTTTTATCCAGTTTTTTTCATTCCAGCATTTTCTTCTGCACGTGCATGAAGAAGGTACCTGTAATGGCACATCACAGGTATTTTGTAAGCAAAATTTGAATTTGACATCCGGTTCTTACCACTACTAGTTCTGCTTACAGCTCTGGGGGTTTTAGACAAAAGCACTCCTGACACAACCGATTTTTCTGCATTGCTCATTTATTTTCTCACAGGACACAGTGGTTTAAACCACTTTGTTGCTCATACTTTTTACAATGATGTAGAAATGTTTGCCTTAGGATCCGAGCCATAACCTCATGAGGTGGGAGAGGATTGTATAATAGTGCCATGACAAAGCAGTTCAGGACTGCAGGATGTTGAAGTGGTTCCCCACAGTAAAGTAAACGTTTTGTTTTTAAATCATTGCCACAGCCATTTGCTCTAGAAATTTCCATGCTTTTGAACATAGTTCTTTCTGTACCAGAGCAATAGGAGAGAAACTCAGTTCATGTATTTACAGTTATTTTTAAAATTTCCAATTAAAAGTACATCATTGGTATTCCAGTCCTAAGCAGAAGCTTTTTATTTCCATGTTTGATAATTAAAAGAATTATAAATATATTGTAATATTATATATTTTATTTGCATCACTGCTTGGAATTGAAATGTTGGAAAATATTTATTCGTGGTATCCATCAGGAGATAAACTGCTTTTCTTCCATCTCTTGATTTTTGCCTAATTCCAATGATACATATATAAATTAGTTCCTGTAGTGAAATCAAATGCTGATTTTGGTGTTTTCTTGTCAAGACTTGTATATCACAAACATACACTGTTAAATTAACAACAGCAACAGTGCAAGGTCAGATTGAATTAAAGGAGGAGTTTAGGAAATGTCCTTTTAGGTGAACAGATCCCATAGGATTGTTATCAGGATGCTGCAGAGATTGTTCTGAGTTAAAATGTTCAAAGGGCTGTAATAGAGCAAAGCAACTAACTCATATTTGGCAAGTGGGAGGAATTTTGGAATTTATCTCCCTCTTCATTTGAAAACTCTGACTTTGATAACTATAAAATTACCTGAAGATGAAAATCTGAAATAATAGGGATTGCAGCCTATTTTAGGTTGGAGTGGGCCTCTGTGTCCAGCCACCTGCTAAGAGCATCACTAGCTAGAGCAGCTTGCTCAAGGCCTTGTCCAGTCACATTTTCAGTATCTGCAAGGATAGGGATGCCACAGTCTCTTGGCAGCCTGTTCTGGTGTTTGATCTGCCTCGTCATGAAAAGAACTTTCCTCATCTTTAATGAGACTTTTCTGTGTTCCAATTTACAACCATCATCTCTTGTCCTCTCCCTTACAGGAAAAGTGTGGCTTCGTCTTCTCTATTTCCTTCTGTCAAGTAGTTTAGAAAAGCCTCCTCTTTTTCAGGTTAAACCAGACCAATTCCATCCGCCTCTTCTCAAACCTCCTGCCAAGTATTAATAGGAGGTTATTCTGCCTGAAGTTAAGTGACAGAAGTGTTCAGCCTCTTCAGTTTGACCTCAGAATTTTCTGTGGGGGATACTTGTGCTTTTTGCTGACCAGACCCAACCCACAGGGAGGTGTGTTGCCTCCCTGGGGCCCACAGAAGGGACGTCACCAAGAAGCTTCTCAGCTTGGTACAGCTGGGATTGTTACCCACTCCTGGTTTTCCAAGTAGGCAGCGATGAAGTCCCAACAAGAAGGCTAAGGGCAGTCAAGAGGGTGCTCAGGGTTTTGGGTGAGCTGGTCAAGGGGTCTGGAGCACAAGCTGTGTCCTCTGCTGTCCTGCTTATTGCAGGGCATGATGGGGCAGGAAACAGGAAAATCATGCAGATGAACACCTGGCTTCAGCACTGGTATAAACAGCAGAACTTTGAGGGTTTTGATCATGGGTCAGTTTATACAACAACAACGACAACAAATAGGGTCCACGTGTCTTAAAGGGCAAAAGGGATCTTAGCAGGGTTATTGAGAGTACCTTACACTAGATTTGAAGGGGGACAGGGGCATCGCCAGACTTGAGAGAGATAAGGTGTGGGAAGGGACATGCTGAAAAGCAGCTCTGAGGAGAGGGACCTAGGGGTGCTGGTTGACAATAAGCTGTCCATGAGCCAGCAGTGTGTCCTTGTGTCCAAGAAGGCCAAGAATATCCTGGGGTGCATTAGGAAGAGCATTGCCAGCAGGTCAAGGGAGGTGGTCCTGCTCCTCTGCTTAGCCGTGGTGAGGCCAAATCTGGAGTGCTTTGTGCAGTTCTGGACTGCTCAGTGCAGAGACAAGGAGCTGCTGGAGAGGGTCCAGTGGAGAGGAGCATCTCTCTTACAAGGAAGGCTGAGGGAGCTGGGTCTGTTCAGCCTAGAGAAGAGACTACTGAGAGGGGTCCTCATCAATGTCTATCAGGATCTGAAGGGAGGGTGTCAAAAGGACAGAGCCGGGTGCTTCTTGGTGGTGCTGAGTAATAGCACAAGGGGCAACAGGCAGAAGGTGATGCACAGAAAGTTCCACCTGAACAGGAAGAACTTCTTTGCTATGCAGGTGACTGTGCTCTGGAGCAGATTGCCCAGAGAGATTGTGGAGTCTCCCTCATTGGAGATGTTCTAGAACCATCTGGATGCAATCCTGTGCCCTGTGCTCTGGGATGACCCAGCCTGAGCAGGGAGGTTGGACCAAACGACCCACTGTGGTCCCTTCAAACCTGACTCATTCTGTGATTCTTTGAAATATTTAGGTCTTTATGTTTTTTGTATTCTTCTCTTCCTGTTTGAGCTAACAAACAGAGGACTTTTTTCATGCAATACCATAAAACATACTGCCTCTCTCTGGGAAGAGCTACTTTTTCTCTCAGGAAAGTTAATGTGCTCTACTAACATTCTGCTAAACATCTGGTTTTCAATAGATTTTTTTCCACACACATGCTGAAAGTCATGTAAGGATTTATTATTTATTATCAAAACAAAAAATTTCCAAAGAAATGTGAAATCATTTAAAATCAGTTGTTCTCTTTGCAGAGGGGAAACTGTTGAAGAGACAACCTTAAATATAATAAAATAATAAATATGAAGAAAGTGCCTTTACAATAAACTGGTTGTTTAAGGATTAATGTAGCAAGTTTCAAGTAGTGATTTATGAATGATGAGTCAGACTTGGAATTCAAAACTTGTTTGACAAAGCAGAGCAAACAATATAAAAATTTTGCATGATTAAATTGCTTATTGCTTAAGCTCAGTTTACTATTAGCTTTTGTTAAATTAATCCAAAATAAAATCAAATCCAGATTCAAACCCTGGACCTTCTCTATAATGATCTGAATAGAGTCAAGTAGAATCTGCATTTTCTAGCCTCGAGATGCTCATTAAAATTAGAGTTTTCAGTGAGAAACCATGGAGTTATGAAGGGATTGAATCAACAGCTGGCATTTTTACTGGGAGCTTTGAGCTTTCATTTTAAGACACTTAATTTTAGTGCATGTCTGATGATTTCATATGTCTAGCTGTAGATAATCTACTGTGTGTCATATCTAACATAGGTCTGGCTAGCCTTTTTATTTCCTTGGCATACAAGGAGTTCCCAAAGCTCAGAATGGGGCTTTGTCTGCCCTCTGAGAAGTGCTGTCGCTCCATTTTGGGTCTGCTCCAGGTGTGAGTTCCCAGTGGCACCCAGCTAAGGTTTGCTTTGCAAGACCCTCACCCAGCTCTCCCATAGTCCCGTCTAGGCTACTCTCAGAGCATCATTGCTGCCTGGACTGGCCTTTGTAAGTCCTGCTGGGGAAGTGGGACATTTTCCAGGTGCATTTCTTTCCTTATTTCTGTGGGGGGGTGTTTGTAGGTGCTTGGGGACCTCATTTCAGGATAGTACATTAAAAGGGCTTTACCTCACTAACACCCTCCTTTGCAGACACAGCCATGTAGTATATTTTCATGTTCATCCTTAGCTAGAATAGTATTGTTAAGGTGAAGTATTCCATTTATTCTTACATAATTTATTTTATATTGTGTGTTTTTAAAAATTATATATCCTCTGGAACTTGAAATATCCCAAGAAGTTGAAGAAAACCTAAGAAACTTGTTTCATATTTTGCTAATTCTTTACTTGACTGTGTTCAGGTTTTAATTGATAAATCTTCATTGTGTCACTTTTACCTCCCAAAGATTTATTTATTAACTTTGTAATTTTCTCACAGGATGGATTTTGTATAATCCACCTTCTTCTGGCCAGTCTCAGAGTTTTTCTGTTCAGTTGAAAAGTGAATTGCATATTGAAACTGCATGGACTTCTCTGAATAATGACCTATTTTCAGCTTGTTTACTTTTCTTTTTAAACTGATTACTATATGGGGTTTTGATGAGGGTTTTTTTTAACTGACTCAGGGACATCTCGTGTTTTCACTGAATTGTTCTCCAAGTTGATGTTTGAACCTTAATCCCAAAGATGTATTAGAAGAAATTAATTTCTTATACAACACAAGTTTTAGTGGGCACAAGTCAGATGAGCCATTTAATTTCAAAACTAATTTAGCCTCAAAGTGAACTGTTTGTAATGTGTCTCCCAGTTTCTCTACAGTAATTCTACTGATGTTTTATGCATGTGTCTTATATTTTTCCGTGTATGGATTTTGGATATGCAGAATAGTATAAATACCCTGTTCCCTTTAGTCCCCGTGATCACATCAGAAGGTAGACTGAGATTCTTTCTTTTTTTTGTTGTTTTCAATAGACTCAGAACCGTATGAAGCTGATGGCTGACAACTATGAGGATGACCACCTCAAATCCTCATCCCATTCCAACCAAACCAACCACAAGCCCTCCCCTGACCAGGTAATGTGTCTCTCTTTTTTGTTTTTAAGGTGATTTTTACTATGAGGGCTGATTATTTTGAGTCATATGTAGTTTTCCCTGACCCCCTTGGAACAAAAACAGCATTCTGGAGTGCAGTTATAAAGCAGAAATGGATGTTGCTGTTGTGTTTCCTTTGCTGAAAACTCCCCAAATGTGAACAAACAGTTCCCAGTACCAAGCTGTTATTAAGTGGGTGGAGAAGAGGGAGCACACTGAAAGGAAGGAGAAAAACATTACTTTCTTAAAATGCGAGACTCGAGTCCTGTCTGACATACTCAGATTTTAGCAGCTCAGGTTTACTGCTTGAGTGTGTGGAGTGTCCAGGACTGTTTCTTGTCTTCAGTAGCAGGAAATCATGCTCCAGGATCAGCTTTCTGATCTATGGATTGCATATGAGCAGTTCCCTTCGTTTCCCATGAGGATATCGCGGCCTCGGTGCCAAATGAGCACAGACTGCTCCCTCACAAACTCAATGGGCCGTGAACTGAAGGAAAATCAATTTACCATCTCCAAAGCAGTGAGGAGCCTCCTGTGTCATTTACAAAGCACAGCCATGTGCGTGATAACTATCAGAGAGATTAACCATCCCTTGGGTAGCATAGAAAATGCCAACATAATTGCGTATCCCATGTTGTAATCTCATCCATTCCTGTTTAATTAAAATATTAGCCATCATTAATCACTGCCTTAATGAAGTGAAGGCATGTTTGGTGCTCCTCTTTGCCCTCTGACTCATCCAGAAATTACTGAGGTCTGAAGGGAGGCATCTCAGTCTAGACCTTTAAGCGCCAACTTTGTGATACACAGAAATCGTGGGTGAAGGTACAAAAGGAAAATGGCAAAAAACAATTGCATTTTCAGCCTGCAAAAAATAGATCTTTAAAAATCTCCTTTGATGTCTGCATCAGAAGACAAGGAGTATATACAAAGAAACAAAGAGAAAAATTCTCATTTTCAAAGCAGCTTTCTTTTGCATCTTGACTTAATACTTTCCTCAACTGGCTTAAATTTTTTGCAGTGTTTTTGGAAAATGTTGGTGTTACCTTTTCTGGGAGAGGAAAATTTTTAACACTGAAAATTAAATGGGTTCCTTAATCTTAATTTGATGTAAATGTTAGACAGCTGAAGCCACTTCCAGAATGTAACTGTATTACATGCTTGCAAATGAATGCAGCATAGCATTCACGGATGAAATGAAAAGATAAAATTTAAAAGAGAAATAAAATTTAAACATTTACGGAAATTCTTGCAAAGACCTTGCAGGGGAGGGCAATGGGGAGGAGAGGGGGTGGGAGGAGGGTCTGATTGCACTTTCCGTTTGCATAGGGGCATTTCAAAAGCTGACAAAGCCTACAAGAGAGCAAAGAAAGCTGTACCTCAAGGTAGCTCAGAATATTGCATAAGGAATTAAACGCTTTGTACTACTATTTGTACTTACATATGTGCTTTAAATACTAACCAACTCTTTATTTCATTCCCATGCTGCTCTGGGGCTTTCCTCCCATTGCCACCTCTGCACCTCTAGGATGAGGAGGAGGGTATTTGGGCATAACCAGTCAGATGCTCTTAGTTCAGCCATTTTGTTCAGAACGGTGAGAATCAACTTCTCTTGCCAATAGAAAAGTTCCCGACAGTCACTCCCACATCTCGCTCCCGTGTGCTTTGTGAAACCTGGCTGTGCTCCTTCCCCCTTGCTTGGATAGTGTCTGCATGAGGCTGTTTCTCGTGTGTTTATGTGTAGTTTGTGATTTTCTTCTTCTAATCACCGTCTCGTTGTTTCACGATGTCGTGGGGAGAACTTTCCAGGGCATGTAATTGAGTTTCTGTGCAAAGCAAACCCTTAATGCGGACGAGAGAACAGGAAATGTCTCTCATATCATTTATCATTGACTTCATGGAGGAAATGTTTTCAGTCGGATTCTTTTTTTCAAAGCAGTTTTGCACTGTAGCCAACTCTATGTATGCTTTTTCGATTCTGGTTTGTAAAGAATTTGCTCAGAGATAATGTTCCTCCTGAAGATAATGTTCCTCCTGAAGATAATGTTCCTCCTGAAGGTTTTAAGCATGTGAAGATCTGCGGCTGAGATTGCTGCCATGCATGCTGACCTAACCAGTCACAGATATTTATCAACCCACAATAGATGATTCTTGATATGGACTCAGAATATAAATTGTCTATAAATTTGAAGGAATACCCCCTTAACCTTCCTCTCTCCTTTCCGTGTCCCTCATTCTTTCGAAACAATGGGGGGAGAAATTGGTGGCTGTTATTCATTTAAAGTCCATTTTGTTTCCCAATGTCAGCGTCCATAATTTTCTCTTTTCTGCCGTCAAATTGTCCCTGTGACAACTCTCACTTGCAGAAGAGAAGGCAGTACACAGGACAGAGCCCTTCTCCTCACGCCTGTTCTCTAGCAAAGAAAACATCCTTCACTGACCAGGAACCTTGATATAGAGTTTAAAAGTTCCATACTGATCATTAGGCTACTGCACACAGGATTCATTTATGCCTTGGAGTATCAGTTTTAAAGCAGAATACATTTCTGTGAACTGCTTAAAGTATTCTAAAGGACTCAAATGCAGTGACAATATTTTAAAAATTTATATGAAACTTTTTCTTTCTTCACTTACACTTTCAAGGAAAAATATTTCGCATTTTTTCACACAATATGGTTTTTCCCTGCTAGTTACTTGAAAGAAAACTTCTGAAAATTTCAGTGGAAGTCTTGGACTCCTGCATTTTGGAAATTTTTTTCCTGTATGTTAGATTTGTAAAACATTCATGAAAGAATAAGGCACTCTCATCTCTTCACACTTGCTCAATTAACTACAGACTTACATGTCTGTCTGACTGTATAGATCAAATCCCTCTTTTCAAGCCAACCATCTGAAAAATTTAATCCAACTGTGGCAGTGTCAAACTTGAATTTCATGCCTTGGGGTTTCAACTGAGAAAATCTCTTTAGTGGAAAAATTGATAAAATGCTTCATTAATTTACACTCGCTGTTGATTTCACATTCTTTTTGAATCACCACTCTTGCAATGGTTGTGTGTTAGTGTATGTTGTTAAAAGTTTTAGAGATAATGCTTGTAGAGATCAGCTGAAGCACAGCAAGTTAACAGGAAAGATCAGGTAAGTAAGTGATGAAAAGGAAGAGGACGCTCACTATGAAGGTAGGAGTAATTCTGATTTTCCTTCTGAGAGCAAACATGGAGTTTGTGTGTAAAACACTGATAGAAAGATCTTTCTCTTTTCCTCTCCCACCTGCTGATACATTTATGAATGCAAATGTGCTAAGAGTGTGGCTTCTATCAGTTTGCTGAATTAATGGGTGGGTGACATTAGATACAGCTTATCTCTCCACTTGGAGGCATTTTCCTCAGGAAAGCATGTTACAGAGTATCCGAGTCAAAATAATGAGTCAGCCAGCATCCCTGCCTTACATGCATCTCATCTGAGAAACTTGTCAGCCTCAAGGTTGTCTTGCATACATCAACAGGGAAAGCATAGAGGTGATTGATGCTTCCCAAGCCATTTATTCCCAACAGAGTACATGTTTTTACCATGATATTCCATGTGCATTGGAAAAAAAAAAAAAAAAGTCCTTATTGTCTTTGTAAAAGCTGAGGTGATGTAAGTTACAGAGTCCCTAACTTCCATGTGTTAAATTAAATTTACGTATTACAATGATAAAAAAGTGGCTAGTAGCAAAAGACTTGGCAGTAAGTTTGTATTTTAGAGTTCCTTTAGGTCTGTGCATGCAATCACCTCTGGTTGATACTGAAGATGAAATGGAGACCAGAAAACTATGTACAAGAGCAAACTACATTATTTTATTTTTATGGTTTAGGGTTTAAGGCTTTTCCCCTCCAGCATTCCAGAATTGACTGAATTGAATATTTAATTATGCCAGTTGTGTACATGACAGCATTATCAGATAGAGCTCCCCTGAAATGGAGCACTGTTCCTAAACATACACACCTTTCCTGTAATTCCAGAGAGTGGTAGTTTACATTTCAGTTTATAATTCAATGGAAATACCATCTTTCATCCTGAAATAGTCTTTCCTAGCCTCTTTCACTGGGCTCATTTCCTTGCTGTGTGAATTTCTTATGACTCCTTTTATTCCCCAGATGGAGCTCTATCCTCCTCTATACCCAAACGTGTTCCAGGGTGATTTCACATGAGGATGCTCCTTTGTCTTTCTCGAATGCTAAAATGGTCTGGCCAATATCTTAAATAGTTATTACTCACTTTTATTGAGACTTTTAAAGAGCCCAGGGAAAAGCAAGGACAGAATTGAAGTGCTAAAGGCAAGAACAGAGGGAGAGCAAAACTGAAATCCTGAGAACTGAGAGTTTTATGTAATTTATACATACTACATGTGTGGTTTTAAGTATGCATTCTGTGGTATTTTTCTTCCCATCTTCCATGGTTCTAACTTGCAGTAGGGGTTGAATCCTAGTAGCTGCTGTCATTAGAATTCACTCTGTGGAAGCATTTTTTATTAACAGCTGTGAACAAGTCCTGAAGTCACTGATATTCCTGCTAAAGAGCAAAGCATTTGGTTTTGCTTGAGTTCCAGGAACAAAATCTAAAAATTAATTAAAAATTAATACTATGCTTATTAGAGTAACAGTGGAATGGTCAAAGAGCTAGCATGGAGCTGGAGTGCATAAAAATGGGGATATTTCAAGGTGATGATGATACTGGCAAGTTCCTGTTATCCTAAAAATATTGCAAGACAAAAAGACTCTTCTTTGTGACATTTTTCTTTAATACTTGAGTTTGACAAAATTTAACACAGAAGGAGCAGGTATTGTGAGTTGAGCACTGAAGACACTAGCAGAATTTGAGACTTCTGTAAAGATTTCAGAGGTGGAAAGAGGGAATAAGTCATTACAGCAAAATATTTTACTCATTTTTAAGACCTCAAAAAACAGTCAATTCAAGTAAATTTCCTACACTCTTTGTCAA